CAATTCTTATATTAGTCAGTTCCTCCCCTGTGACTCCTGACCCTGATCTTGGATGCTGCCATTCATATTTGAAGACTCCTCTCTGCAGTACAGAATCTGCATCCTGGCCTGTTTTGGGCGACATATTATATCAAAAGACAGCTTCTTATGGTGAAATTTGGCTTTTTCGTCCACAGCCTTAATTGTCTGGTGATGTCTTTTGACAACGCCATTCACACTTGACCTGTTAGTTTCTCTAAAGAAATGCCTCACACCCTAATTCTCTAACATCTCCTTCAAGGTTGCTGAGTGGAAGGTGGTGCTGCTGTCCATCAGCACCTCAGTTACTGGACCCCTCTTCAAAAACACCTCCTCAAGGACCTTTGCTATCTTGATTTCCCTTTTCTGTTCTGATTTCTCTCCATACAGCCACTCTTGATAATGCATCATGTCAGTGGCCAGCTGGGTCCAATCTTCCTCCACACCCACTATATATCTAATTGGTGCCGGATTTATAGACTAACATTTGCTGCATCTCTCCATCCCTGCTTTGACTGTCTTCTTGGTTATGCTGGGATCCACTTTCGTGCAAAGAACAGTCTTCTGTTGTGCCTAAAATGATGCATATCATGGGGCTCCTTCAGTCATGTCTGACTACCTACAGCAGCCAGCTGTTTCTGGTTCTGTTTCTTTCATGAGTTTGTTCGGAACCTCAAGCCAGGTTTTCTTCACTCTGGTAATTATATCCACTCCACTGTTCTCCGATGACACAAATGTAATGTTCAGTTTCAACTCAATCTCTTCAGTAAGTGCTCAAAGAGTTCCTGTCACTTCACAAGCCCCTCATTGGCTCCCTTGGTCTTCACCCTCCTCTCTCTGATCCATGAAGCCACTGTGGCCAAGTCAGTCTTCAATTCAATTCTTTGTAGTCCCCATTTTATGTCCAGGTTAATACCTTTCCTGACTGCATCCAATACTTCCACATTAATATGGGCAAAGTCATTTTCTTTAGCAACAAGGTTGCATTTTCTGCAGTGACACCACTTACTTCTCAAATGACTTCTAATGCTAGACTGTTCACATTGCACCACAGAACACCTCTGCTGTTGGATATATACCAGCTTCCTCTCACTGGATCCTCTCTTTTCACCTCTGCGGCAATCTCCTTTAATATATTCACTGCTTCGCTGTTGACTTTATTTTCTCAACTTTCTCCGCCAGCCAGTCTTTTGATGTAGCTACAGCCATCCAGCAATGGGAAAATAGCCAACTAGCTTCCCACAAATCAAGAAGAGTTTTCTCCAATTTAGTATATCCAGAACATTGGGAATGTCATTTCCTCTTCGGAACACCATCTTGCTCTGCATATTCTTTTCCAATCAGAGCCCCAATACTACTTCCCCTTTTAAAGATTCTGGTTGTTTCACAGTCAGCCTGAACCTAGTGAGATGACATATCACTTGGTCATCTGTTTCCACTGTTTCATCCACCATTATATTATCTATCATAATATAATGGTGGCTCTTCTCATGGTATACTTCTCCCCTAGTACTTTCTTAAGTACTGTCATCATGATTTGGGGGGCAGAGTTTAGGTGAAAGCCTAACTTGTTTAGGCAATAGGTTCAGCTTTTATACCTGACTGGCTGATATCTCCACAAGTTTTCAGCAACGTGGATTTGCAGTTAAGCAGATTTCAGATCACCAATCATTGAGGCTTGTCCCATCTGTCTCCATTTCCACAGGGTCTCTCCACACACATCTATGCCATTTTCACCTGTGTGACACATCATATATTCATTCAATTCTTGAAAATCCAATACAGGTTGAGCTTTCTGTTTCATGGACTGAACTACTGCCATTAGTGGCAGTACTCCTTCAACCTTCACAGCTGGAGAGTTCCTTCTTCAATCCATCATGCTACGCTGTTCTGCCATCAATTGTTTGGACACTTCTCATACCACTCCACATGTCAACTATGTTTTTTGTGACCAATGTAAATATGCAGCCTGTGTCAAAGAAAGCTTCTGCACTTTGCCTTTCACTGTTACAACCACTAGTAGTAGTCTGCTTATTGGCATCTCCACTAGATAAGGATAGCTACCAGCGCAGTAGCTGCTCCTTTGTTCGTTTCCCTGGTGACAGCATCTACTTATGAGTCCAACCTGGCCACATTGATAACAGGTTACACCTGGTGCCAGCTCCTTTCAATCCTTTGCCATCTGGGGTCCCTGGCATATATAACACTTTCCAGTGAATTTCTGGGGTTGACACCTAACTTTTGGCTCCTTGCTGCTTGTACTTTGCAGCTTTCTGTCACCTCAGACAGCAACAGTCTCCAACTCTTGTTCTTTTTTCCTGGTTAGCACCCTAGCATGCAGTAATGCTTCTTTCACTTCTATAAAACTTATTCCAGGGAGCTACTGGAGGACTTCAGAGATGCAATTTGGGAAACTGTTCACAAAGGCCAATTTTACCATCCTTTTGAGGCCTCTTCCTTGGAATCCTCCCAAACCTGCCAATCTCCTGATGTTGTTTGCATAAATACTGACCAATTCCCTGGCCCAGTACACTTTGCTTAATGCGTCATAGGCACCCAAAGGTCCCTCGGTGAAAGCTTCTTTAAGTTGAAGCTTGATAATTTCAGTATCCTGCTGCTTCTCCTCTTGCTCTCTTGATATGTTGGCACTCTACCTAGAGTGCCAACATATCCCCTTCCAGGTACAGTGGTATCAGGCTAGCAATATCTGCAATGTTTTGCAGCCTCACCACCAATTTCACTTCTTTGAGCCACGCAATTATATCCCCTTCAACACAAAAAGGCTGAAGCATGTTGCTACTCAATTTCACTTTTTTCACCGTCTTGTGAAACAGATAAATTTAATGAAATATTTCAGTGAAATAGTTTGTGGTCAAAAAAAATTAACAACTCTGTTTCAGGACACAATTTCTGAGTAGGTGTTTCTCCCCTGCATGTCACAACTGTACATACAAGTAAGATATGACATACTCCACGATGGTCTATTTATAATGACGTCACCAATCACTCGCCTGGATAATAGACATACGAGCACCTCAGAATGGAGCATTAATGCACCCAGATATCCCTCCTTGTGATTTCATCCAACCAAAAAAAAAAAAATGTATTCAATCATGAATAAAGATACCAAAAGAGTTTTATGTTGTCACCAGTCAGAATAGTGGCATTCCGTTCAGCTGCTTTTTTATGTAAATTGTGCTATCACAGGCAAGATTTCTTAAATACATCAAAACTCTCTCAAATTTGTTGTCACTATACACATAATAATATTAAAAGCATATATAGAAATTAATTGAAAATTAGTTTAACATAGAAATATATTAATATCATTTATTAACTTTCATTCACTTTAAAAGTATTTTTTCTTTTTTTTTTTTTATTGTTGTTCACCCTATACAAGTCATAAGTGGTACTCAAAGGATTACTAAATGGCAATGTTGTAAGGATGTATAAGGAGAAGACAAGGGTTGCATACTATGAGAATATGTAGGATAGATAACAGTTGACCCACAAAAATTTTAAGATTGTAGTGGTTAGGGAAGCATCCTCTCCAGAATCCATTCCACACAGCAACAGTTCTGGAGAAAAAGCTGTCTGAGTGGAACTTACTCCTTACCAATGAATTATGAAGGGAATGAAGATGAGTAGATTCAATGTACATAGCAGGTCCAAGTTGTGAAGGTTTCATCTGCCATGAAAATGCAATAGAGTACATATGGGCTACATTTCATCTGTGGGAAAGGGGTACAAGTGTGGAAAACTATTCATCACCTATAAGGTCACACAAACTCTTTTGAACTTGGTTGAGACTGAAGGCTGGCTCTTGTAGATATAGGGCATAGCAGAAAAAGTCAGACACTTTCTGGGGTGGTGCAGGGAACTGAACATTTTGCAACATATATAGAGATTTGAGAATATTTTTAAACAGCTCATTAATACAGGAATCCCTGTAATGCACATTTGATTAATGCATTCTCACTTAGTCTGCTGAAATTTTTTATACCAAAATTTGATTAGGACATGCATAATACTTGATTAGTGTGGTAAAACATTCTTCAGTTTAACCATAGTAACTGAAAATTGATTTTTTATTGTTACCAATTAAAAATTTTCTAAAATTTAAAAATGGAAAATAGATAACTATTTTGTTTGTCATTTTTATTTATATTTGATTAATGCATTTTTGATTAGTGCATATCTTTTAATGTACCCATTAGCCACACTAATCAAGGGATTCCTGTATATAGCAGAAACAGGAGAGGACTGATGAAAGAACCTTGTGGGACACCTGCATAGATCTCATTGATGTCAGAGAACTGGCCATTAACAATGACTTTCATGGACCAACCTGATAGGAAGGACTTGATAATTGAGAAGATTCTTCCAGAAATGCAATAGTTGTGGAGCTTTTGTAGCATGCCCTATGCCACACCTTTAGAGATATTTAAGGCAATTACTCATTAAGGCAATGACAGATTTATTAAGTTCACTGATTCTATACACATTGATAGTAACACATCAGCAGTGGGCCTAAAGGTGTGAAATCCATACTGTTTATTGATCAGGAGGTTGTTATTGTTGAGGTGATTGTCAACTTTCTTGTTGATAATAGCCTCAAATAGTTTGTTGATGACATTGAGGAGGGTTATACTGCATCAGGGATGAATGTTCACCTGCATTCTTGTAAACTGGGCATACAGTTATATATATATATTGACACAGTAAATTCTAAAGTTTTGATTAATTTGTTTTCCATAGCTTATTAACCCATTGTAGGAATCTTTAGCTTGTAAGAACATTTTGGGAATAATGATTTTTTACTGATACACGTCCTACTAATTAATTCCTAGCTGGGGGAAGAAGAGGTGAATTCATACCTTTCCCAATGGTATTTGCATCTAAGTGAATACAACAAAACTGGAATTGGAACTCAGCTCTCCAATTCCAAATCATTGTCCATTACACCACCTGCACATCTAAGTTTACAACACCTAATATTCCAAAGTGGTCACTCATCTTGGTACTGACTAGGCTCAATGATGCTTAACTTTAGTGATCATATGAGAATCAGTGTTTCTTTATATGCCTATAAGCCCAGTAAATGCTAAAAGCATATATATTTGGTGGGAACTGCCCTGATCTCACTCACCAGCCTTGATGGTCCAAAAGCATCTCTAAGCTCTTGGAGAATAATTTGTCAACTTGTGGGGGACAAATTATTCTCCACTTTTCCAACCTCTTTCTCACAGACAGAATGTGGCAAGCCTCTTGCTGCTCTATCGTTACTTCCATGGAAAGTGCTTGGACAAACTACATTACCTGGTCCTGCCAATTCAAACCTTCACAGTAAGGACATATCATGCCATTACATTATATATTTTTTCCATTTTGACAGGACATTATGTAAAGAAAATTACCAAAAAAAAATATGAATAAAAGGTTTTGTTAACAAAATGCTGGAAATCATCTAATGCATGCATACACATACATACATATATAAAGTGAAAAACAAAATTAAAAATGGTAATACACAGGATAGTTTTGCCCTTTCCACAAGATAGGGTATTCTATCAACAAGATGGCAACTACCCTAGGTTTTCCTCAGGCAGCAGTAGCAAGGGCATACCAGGAATATGTGAATTTTACACAAACATCAGCAGTACATGAAAACTGGGTGATGCAAAAATAGGACTGTCAGTAACTGATAAACTCTATAGTTACTACCCATCCAAAGGGAACATTGCACTGCCTTTGTCTTGTCTGGTTTTTGCATGTCCACATGTTGAGCGCACCCTTTTTTTTCAACTGAGAAAAAACTGGTGTTATATAGCTCTCCCAGTCCCAGACCTATGCTGACTATTGACTAATATTTACCTGGTATCATTCATAGGCAAATAGTGCCACCTACTCTAAGTAGAATGTCTTCTCTCAACAGCCAATCACATGGAAGAGGACATAACTCCTGGTGCTTACAACACCACATGCAACCAACTCTGAGTCGCTTATCAAGTTGACCAGATTTTCTGTTACATGCATCAAATCATATCTTGATTTAATGTTGGTGCTTCTCAACCCATCAGTGCACTGTACAGTATAGACTACATTCTATTTTTTTTTTTTTTTGTTAATGTTGACTAACAAGGGTACCATTATTGACACTATGGCATCAGTTACTGTGCCTCACCTTAACAAGAGAGCAATAACCATTAGAGAATTGGAAGACTAATACCATGTCATGTTATCAAATGAATCAGGTTTTCAGTTGAGTGGTTGAGTTTGTATGTGGAAGAGACCATATGAGGCTAAGGATTCAGGTTGTCTGCAGAGTTTTTCACAAGTAACATTCTATTTTGTATTCATCATAACAATTACTTTTTGCCACATTCTAGCATCCTATGTTAAATGTGCTTTTGACCACTTCAACCTTTTATTCCAAGGTTTCTTTTTTTGCTGCTATATGACTGTTGAAGTTGTATTTTTATAATACTGTGCCTACTATATCAACTGAAATCTCACTGTTAAGACTGCATTCAATCATCACACAGTAGGCCCAGATAGGCTAACTTTGGAAATAGAGGTATGATGATGTATATAACTTGGCTCAATCTGTTTCTGATGTGATTAAGGTCTTTTTGGAAGTGTATGGCCAAGCTGAAGTTCATAAAAGGTGAGATTTCTCTAAAATTGTGGGGGTTGGGGTGGGATTTCCTTATTTGAGCATTGCCGTCACAAGGTACAAAAATCACTCTAATTTCAGTTTGGATAGAAATTAGAGGTTGGTTGAGGGCTCATTGGAAGCATATACTTAAGGCCAATTTAATGGTATGATAAAAGTTTCAATTGTATAAAAAGTTGAAGATTAGGGTTGTATAACATCAAAAAAGACGGATGTGGGTTCAGACAGACAAAACAGGACAGTCATGTTAAATAAAATCTAAACTTTTCCAAAACAAAGATCCGAGAAACTGCTTTCTGCAAAATGGCTCTAAAAACACCTATAAAAATCTTTATAGTATGAAGTCATGCTAAAGTTTCAAAATAACAATTTGGTGTACATACTGTTAGTAATCAATAAATATATCTTCAACAAGGCTGGCATACCACTTCTTCAGCAAATTGAACAACCAAGAATGTGAGCATATGGTATGATCTGCAGCACCAGTTTTTGTACAGTACTGTTTTAGCTGATGCTGATTTATAAGATTGTTTAAGACAGGGTCAGAATGTTTAAGGAGTCTTGACATGACATCAGTGATCTGATCAACAGAAGAGATTTTCCTGGATAAAAATTGCAAGTAATTTCTAATGTCCTTGTTGTTTGCCTCCAAACATTCTTTGGACAGGTTCCCAAGTCTGTAACCATCATTCAAACCAATCAGTTCTATAGAGTAGTGTAGAGTTCCATGCAAAATATGATTAATTCATACCCATGGAAAGTTGACACACACAAATTGAAAGCAGTTGAGTCACAGAGATCTTTGAATTTTAACTCTACTTTACACTATGAAGATACCACTGAGAGGATTGTAGATAATTGACAATGGAGAAGGTTATCCTTGTGTTTCTGATCAGCTAACTTTTCTATAGCTTTAATCACCTCTTCAGAGAAAAATTGCCTTCCTTGTGGTCCATTAGTTGAAGTCCTGTCTTTCCCATCAGCTGTATAGACTCTGTCAGGATAAAGTCCTCTTTCCAGGTGATTGGTCTCAGGAACTTGATCATTGGATTTACGAATGGGATCCAATTCTGGTAGTCAATGTGACAACATCCATTGTTGGTAGTCAATGTTGACAATTGATGTAAGAACAGTTTGATGAAACCATGTTTGTATTGTTGATGTGGACAGGAAAACCCAAAGGACATTAACATTCCATTTCTTTGTTTTGCAGGGAAATTTCAAAGAAAAATTAACAAATGATTGACTTGAAGGAGGAAGGTTTTGAAAATTCTGAAAGGGTTTAACCAATACACCTTTGATATTGGTAACTTATGGTGTATGGATCTTAGCCATTTTAGTGTATCTGATGAATTAGAGCAAGACAATTGCTGCATTTTGAGTAAAATCAGACCAAACCCAATTTTAGGTAAAAATTTTAATGAAAATTTTTGTTTTCATCTATTTTGATAGTATTCTGTGGAAATTCATAGCTAATATTCTGTCTGTAACCCCAAAATAGTAATATATTACAACCACTTTCATCCATTTGGAAACTAAATTTTAATTCAAGCATACACACAAAATTTACCAATTAGATAAATTTACAGTCTCTGAAATAAACTTTGTTCCTGCACTAAAGAAGAAAGGGCTAAGAGGCACATGATAAACTGAAAAGATTCTAAATGGGCTTAGCCTGAATTTTTCAAAAAGTATATACTTTGGTATGTGAATCTTAGCCGTTTTTGATATATTTGATGTTTTTGACAAAAAAATAGTGCAATTTCCGGGAAAATTGGACATACTCGCGAAAAACTTTGTAGCAATTCTGATTTTACTTTAAGATCTTAATGAATTCATCATGAATCAATGATTTTTCCAATCAGAATTCAATTATATGGTATTCAAAGTTAAAAAAAATTATACTAGCTGTATTTCCTCAGTTAACCATAACAGATTTTAGCACATTCACTTATCAGAGTGATGTAGCATTTAAAAATATGTGGTCAGGATATGGCCAAGAAATAGCTAAGATTTTATTCAGATTTCTGTAACTTTAAAATAATATAAAATCAGTTCTAGATATGCTAGAGACTTTTTTTTTTTTTTAGATTCATTTTATAAACAAAGATTTAATGTAAATTGATTTTTCAATTTTTTCAGAAATTTAATGTAGCCAAATTGCATCACTTGTCCAGCTATTAATTTTGAATTGCCTACCAAGACTCTTGCAATTTATCTTCTTTAATTTTTGTAGTTCTCCACTTTTCTTTGCACTTAAAACACTTCCAGACATCTTTTGGATGGTTGTTCCAACACTGTTTCTAGAAATTCTCAGTCACCTCACTCTCTTTCATCTTTCCCTTCAAAATCACAACCTTCATCTTTATTTTAGCAGAAACTTTAGCCATGATTTTAATATAAGAAAGCAATCAAGCAAGCTAATGTTGAATTACCAATGACTTGCCAAGATACAATATACTCATGTTAATATGGAACAATTCCTACTTATAAATCTGTATATTATCATAACTTTATCATCTCATATCTTTCATTCACCCAATAGTTTTGCATTGCCTTTCTTCAGCCTCAATTTGATAAAAACAGTCTATCATCTGTTACATGATATGCAGAAAAATGCAACAACTTATTTTCTAGTCCCCGAGTTCCACAGATTACTACTGTGAAAAGCATACTGCTAAATAATCTAACGAAATAAAGATATATAATCATTTTATGTAGTTGGCACCAAACTTTTGCAAGCCAGTGTATGATGCTTCATATCAGATGAATTGAATAATTGTATGTTATCCTCTGGTAGAAGATACATTCTTGTTGTACATATCAGTCATTTTTAATAATACATTTTAATCTCAGCTTCAGAGGATATTTTGTGCTGTTAGCATAGTTATGTTCAATACTTCATGAAAAAAGGCCCAAACTAGATTAAACAATTTTTTATCATCTAAATGTTTGTTATTATTAAGAGGAAAGACCAAAGTATTTTTTGAATATTTTTTAATTTTTTAATCCTTTCTAGTGCATCTGAAATTTTAGTTAAAAATCTTGATTTTTTTTAATTTTTTTAATTTTTTTTTTTTTTTTTGAGTCATCAAAATTTACATAAAATCAATGTCTGCCATTTTTTATACAAAAGTGAAATTCTTCATTTAAAAATCTTGTAAAATTCAATTATACTTTTTTCAAAAGTTATTTTAGGAAAATTAGAAAATTTAAAGTATACTTAATGTAATTGGAAACAAATATTACTTAATTTTTTAGCAGAATCATTTAGTTGGAAATAAGAGAAGCCTGTCTAACTGTGGTGATTGGTTTTGGAGGTTTGAATTGACGTTTATATCAACGTATTGACAACTAATGTCAGGGCAATTTATCAGACGGAAAAGCAGAAATGACAACAT